TTCATATATACAATTTATCCAATTGGCTATTTTATATTTGTATTTGTAGGTCTTATGCCTTAACTATTGTTTCTGAAAGAGATTTCACTTCAACTTCTCGATTCAGTACTATGTAGAAAGATGTTTTAATAATTTTTTAGCTATTAGAACTTCTACTTTGGCCATGACAAGAATAAATGATTAGTAGTGATACAGAATATCCCATGTTGCTAAGACTAGCAACCCAATATTCACAAATTTATTGTGTTTGCCCCTCACTTTTTTTATCCTTAGGTCCTGGCATTTGCAATTAGAAATATTAACCTTGCAGTACACCCCACAACTCTTTGACCTCATGTCAACAGCTTCTGTCTGATCTTTAAATATATTGTTTCAGAATGACCTTCAAGTTTCTTATTTTTTTGTTTTGTTTTGTTTTTCTATCTAAAGTATTCCAATATACATTCTTTAACTACCTGTCCTTGAATAAAAGGTGTTTCCATTCCTAGAAAAAGAAAGCGAAAAGGACAAACAAGAGGTACTAACTAAAGCCCTTTATTAGAATTGTGTCTGAGGAGAACTGGGGAGTTCAGTGTCTTATAAATGAAAGTAGGTTTCTGGAGTGGACAGAGGAAAAGCATCTTATGGTGTATCTGGATCTATTTCTCAAAGGCTTTGAAGGTTATAATTAGTTGCTACTAAATCACATGGTTGTGGGGCTTCACAGCTTTATTTCTGGTCTACAGTCCTTCAGTCAGAGAACAGGTTAGATCCAGGCAAGGCCTGTGCATCTTCATTTGCTCACTTCCTGGAGACCACTGAGACTTTTACTTGAGGACCATCTTATACTCCTGCCATAAAGATCAAAGAGAGGTGTTCACCAAGCTGACTTGGACCAGGGTTGATGATGCAGGCTTGTGAGAATGCTGAGAGACTTAAAGAACACTTTCCTGTGCCAGTTACATCTGAGCAGTGAGTTGGAAGGACACATGATGAAGCTGTGACTTGTCTGCTTTCTTCTTCCCAGGTGGAAAAACAGGCATAATGGACCCCTGGAATTCTGAGAGCAGAAAGTAGGGTGGGCAGGCTATGTCAATGCAGACTGATGTTCTTCACACGAAAAAAGAGCAGCTTGTGTCTGCCTGTTATAATGCCTTTCCCCAGTTCTAATATGTATATCCCAAAACTTTAATATATTTCTAGATGTTCTTTAAATATATCTTCAAGAGTTTGTCAGACATGGATGATTAGATTTGGGGTTTCCCGTCAAAACCCCATGTTTTGAAATCTGCAAACTATAAGTGTAAACTGAACAAACCAGCCACCAAAAATAAGTAGTTTGAAGAATAACAAATAATTAGGGGTCTGGAGGTTTCATGTTAAAAGGAGCCGTCACATGAGTTGTAGCTTATTGTAGAATGAATCCGTATTCACCTTGCAGGCATCATCATATGTGGTGTCTAGTTATCTAAAGGAATTCTGTTTGACCTTGAGGGGCCTGGAGATACTGCATGGGGCTAGGAGAGAGAAGGGTGCTCTTTTGATTTGTAGACTGATCTCATGACCTTTTAAAAATAGCATTTCTTTTTAGTTAGTTCAGAAACTTCCTTTTCTGCTTTGATTTTGCTGATTTGGTAAGTGAGAAAAAATATTGCTAATCTCATAATCATAGTATTATTAAATGAGGTAAGTAGCTCTGAGATCAAGGCTTTTAACTTTAAATCATAATTTTGTAACCAATCAGTGTCTAGGTTAGCCTCTTAGTATTGCAGTTCTTCTAAGTGGATGAAACAGTCAAATATGCAAGACTTTATTTCTCATCTTTTTTGGTTTCTTAGAAGATTATCATCTGCTGCAAAAACATACTCTCTGGCTGATGGATAGGGGGTGGTCTTCCTCAGATCCAGTTTTCCTTATGTCTATCCTTCCCTATTCCTTTCATCTCCTCTTACTCTTGCTTTTTGCACTTATATTCCTCCAAGTCTCATAAACATATCAAGTTTCTGTTTGATTGTTTGGGCCATGCCAGCAATTTCTGTTTTCTTCTGTCAGCATCTTCAGGAGAAATGTGTGCACAAAGGCAAAATGGCTCTCAAAGTAGTCTACATCCTCATTTCAGTATTGGTGCAGACATCAAATTGAAGGCCATTCAGCTCTACCTGCTGCTGGTTCTCTCAGCAACCTAGAGATTAACCTCTTCTAAGGCTTTGAGCTATTTTTGAGGTCGAGACTGCAACAACATTAAAGCTAGAACCCATTAGAAAATCACTTTCATCATCTGTCCTTTTTCCAAATCAGTGGCTCTTTTTCTGATCTCCTAACCCTTTAATCTCCCTTGTAGCAAAACAAGGAGATTGTTAGTTTGTGTTTGTATCCAATGAGGTTAGGATCCTTGATAAGAGCTTCAGAAGACACCAAGATACTAGAGAGCTGAATTGGGAGATGAATTTCATCTCTAGGTAGATGACTTAATGCCAAAGGTGCCCCCTTTCCTTGTTTAGAACCATAAATTTTTGTTGATATCGTGCAAATGAAGCTCAGACTTTCCAAAAGACACACAGCAGAAAGCCTTTTATTGCATTATTTCTAAAGGCTTGAAGTTTTGAAGGGAAGAGATTTTGTTTTCCTCTAAGCTACACAATGAAGCTTTCAGAGAACCTCTTTTAAAAGGAATAGCTACAGCCTTTGTGTTGAAGGGTGTGTCTGTTGGCAGAGTCTGCTGATGCAGACAGACTGGCTGGTGATTAACAAAGGTCATTAGACTTTGGAATCTGGCAAGCAGCATCGGATGGTATGTCTTCTCTGTGTGGAAGGATGACTCCCAAGAAGCCAAGGCATTCTGGAGGTCCCCCAAGTATACCTCCAAATCCTGCTGTAGAGCAGGGTCTGGTCCTGGATCACCCTGTTCTAACTACTTCTCTGCTGGAACTAACAAACCAGCATATCAATCATGGAATAAAAGAACCTTTGGAGATCTTGGTGAATGACATTTGAGGAGGAGAAAGGTGCTGCTTTTCGGAAAGAAATGAAAACAGTTAATTCTTTGTTGGGAAGAGAAGAGCATAGGAGGAGGCCAGCCTGCCTTTCTAGCATTCACTTCTGATTGTCAGCCTAGCAGAATCCAAGAGAAGCCATATTGTGCACGGAGGAGAAGCTCTGAGCTAAAATGGCTGCTCCTAAAGCTCAGAGGACTAGGGCAGCTTAGTGAGTCTTAGAGCTCCAGTGACGCAGGAGCTCCTATCTCTTGAAAGTGTGATAAACACATTCAGCAGAGCTGTGGCTTGTTTGGCTGAGATGAAAGGACTAAGCTTGGGGGATGGGGAGTACACACTGGATGATCTGCTTTTTTCTGTGAAGTGTTCTAAATGCAGGAGTCGTCTGCACCATGGAAAAATTTGTTTTCAGGTCTAATGGACTGTGCGAAAGGAGAAGTGGGGTGGGGCCTCAGTGACTGCTGTAATTTGATCCAGAGCTGATAGCAACCTCTTCCACACAATTTGGGTTGGTGCTTAGACATAAAAGCTTGTGTATCTGGAATATTGAGACTTAGTTAGCTGAAAGGACTCTGGTGCAGAGTTCAATGTTTATTGAAAAAGGATAAATTGCTGGGTGAAAGAAGAGGAGGTAAATATCTGCGTCTCACTCTGCAAGCTCAGGCTGTCCAGAGCTGGACTTGCCAGAAGTTATTTTAGCAGGCTACCAGGAGGAGTGTTCTTTCATAGAAAATCCTCATGCCATGGCTACTTGCACTACATTGACAGATTATTAATGGACTTCATTCCTCCTGTAGAAATCATGTATCTTTTATGAGAAAAGTATAGAAAACTGCATCATAAAATAGATTTGGCTATAGCTTTAGTTCTTGGACATCTGGTTCTAGGTTACAGTGACTCACTTGAGTTTGAGGTGAGCTTAATGAGGTAACTCGCTCATTAAGATAACAACTAGGTGGCTCAATGTGGGAGATCCATTTATATAGGAAGGACTATACACACCTTTCTAATACCTTTTTGACTTCTTAATGATGGGACTCTCCCATTGGGTTAGTGTGAAGATTTCTGTATATTTCAGTCATATATAAATAGCAGAATAAAGGTAGTTGGACAAATAAGTTTTGTTTTATTGCATACCAAGTTCATAGCTTTTTGCATTTGAGTATACACTTCATGTTTATAAAGAAAAGAAGTGGAAAAATCCAGAGTCACAACTTAGAAGCCCTTCTTTAAACCTGCCAGCCTCTGTTGTCTTAATGTAAATTGAGGTGCCAAGGTATAACTTTAAACTAGAAACTGGATTGTCATCTAAAGTTGGTTGCTTAAAAACCTCATGACCTAATTAGATTGGAGAAGCTGTTAGATTTTAATTGGTAGATAGTAAAAGAGCAAATAACCATTTAGCTCATGAAGAGATAGAGAATGAATGAGAATCAACTAAAACTTTGTGGAATGCAAGAAAGACATATTCCAGCATCAGTAAAGATATTAAAAATAATAAAAGCAACAATAAAAACTCTGTACCAACACTCCTAAGATTCAATCTTGTCTACCATTTGTTGATAAAACACCATTGTAATAATATTAAAACAGCTAATATGAGTTGAGATTTGTCCTTTTTTCTGTGTAGATACCTTCTATGAACATTCTAGTTGAAAATGAAAATGAGTTCAAGGCAGAACCAAAACCAATATTAAGTTACTAAGAAATGTGAATTTAGTGGAGAAATTCAGATACTGCTAAAATTTTTGAAATATTAAAGGTTTCCTTGACAAGTGACATTTGAAGATGTATCAAGCCAGAAAATATTTATCTGGGTTTTCTTTTTTTCTTTGAAGTTATGGAGTCAAGGACATTATCCCTATTATGTCTGATTGCCTTTCTTTGGCCAGTGTTCCAAGTGGCAAGCCAAGTAAGAGAAATATGCTGATATTAGAAATATTTCCATTACTGAATGTGCAGCCCCTTCAGTTTGAAGCCTGTGAGTAGTGCATTCCTTCTGATGCTTTGCTCCGACTTCTCCCACAGGTTCCTAATGTGAGAGGGTAGTCCCAGATCATGGAGGTGCTTCAGTGTGATGGCTGTGATTTCAGAGCCCCGTCTTATGAAGATCTCAAGGCACACATCCAGGATGTCCACACAGCATTTCTGCAGCCAACTGATGTTGCTGAGGACAATGACAACGAGCCACGATCCGGGTCCATGAATGCCAGTAATCAGACAGAGGTGGAGTTTTCTTCTATAAAGGATGAATTTGCCATTGCAGAGGATTTATCAGGTAAATCTACACTAAACACAGCATATCTGATATATTTTAATTACTCTCATTTATTTTTAGCTTGTAGCTATGGTTCTTGATATGTGTGTCTTCTATGGTTTCTTGCTCTCTGAAAGCTATTTCTTCTTGTTTAGGCATTGTTTTTCTCTTCTTGAGTCTCCTAGGTAATTATCCTTTCAGCTTCCTCATGTCTCCTACATTTAATTTGAGAACAAAGTAATATCTTGGAAAGTTGTAGAATAAATACTGCAGTTTATGAGCCTTGTATCTTCATAGCTATGTGGTTTATTTATGGAGATGAGGAAAGTATTGTACCTAAAAGTATACTCTCCAACTTCATCAGTGAGAAGGTGTAATTATATGTATGTTCATTAATGCTTCAGGAATACTCTTCAGGACTGCATCTTAAGACTTTAGGCCCTTTGAATGTGATGTTTATTAATGAAGGATAATTGAAATGGCATTGATTTGCATGATTGAATTTCTCATTTGCTTCCCTTTTCTTACTTTTTTTATGCATTCTCTTTAGGTCAAAATGCAGCTGCATTGGGGACTGGAAGTTACTATGGCCACAGTCCAGGATATTACGGTCAGCATATTGCCCCTAATCCCAAACCAACAAACAAGTTTTTTCAATGCAAGTTCTGCGTACGCTACTTCAGGTCAAAAAATCTCCTCATAGAACACACTAGGAAGGTGCATGGAGCCCAAGCTGAAGGGAGTTCAGCAGGACCCCCTGTCCCAGGATCCTTAAATTATAATATCATGATGCATGAGGGATTTGGAAAGGTCTTCTCTTGCCAGTTTTGCACATACAAGTCTCCAAGGAGGGCAAGAATAATTAAGCATCAGAAGATGTATCACAAAAACAATTTGAAGGAGACCACAGCTCCTCCACCTGCTCCTGCTCCTATGCCAGATGCCGTGGTTCCGCCCATGTCTCTGCAAGACCCCTGCAAGGAACTGCCAGCAGAGGTCGTGGAGCGCAGCATCTTAGAATCCATGGTCAAACCTTTGACCAAGTCTAGAGGCAACTTTTGTTGTGAGTGGTGCAGCTACCAGACCCCCCGCCGAGAACGCTGGTGTGACCACATGATGAAGAAACACCGCAGTATGGTCAAGATTCTTTCCAGTCTCAGACAACAACAAGAAGGGACTAATCTACCTGATGTGCAGAATAAGGGTTCTGCCAGCCCCACTTCCAACTCCACGTATCTGTCCATGAATGCTGCAAACCGGGAGATACCCAACACTAATGTCTCCAACTTCAGGGGCTCCATTGGCAACTCCATCATGAGAACCAATTCTTCTTCAGCTTCCAAATTTTCACCCATGTCTTACCCTCAGATGAAGCCGAAGTCACCTCATAATTCTGGCCTCATTAACTTGCCAGAGAGATCCCGTTATGGAATGACTGACATGACCAATTCTTCTACTGACCTGGAAACTAACAGCATGCTGAATGACTCTAGTTCTGATGAAGAGTTAAATGAAATAGACAGTGAGAACGGCCTAAATGCGATGGATCACCAGACATCAGGCCTGTCTGCAGAACAGCTGATGGGTTCAGATGGCAACAAATTACTGGAGACCAAGGGGATTCCATTTAGAAGATTCATGAATAGGTTCCAGTGCCCCTTTTGTCCTTTCCTCACCATGCATCGACGTAGCATCTCTCGTCACATAGAAAACATCCACTTATCTGGAAAGACAGCTGTCTACAAATGTGACGAATGTCCATTTACTTGCAAGAGCTCATTAAAACTTGGGGCTCATAAACAGTGTCACACGGGTGCAATATCAGATTGGGATGCTGTGAACTCCCAGAGTGAAAGCATTTCTTCTTCACTGAATGAAAGTGTAGTGTCTTATGAGAGCTCAAGCATCAATGGCAGAAAGTCAGGAGTCATGCTGGACCCTTTGCAGCAGCAACAGCCACCACAGCCACCACCGCCGCCGCCACCACCACCACCATCACAGCCTCTGCAACAGCCACAGCCACCGCAGCTTCAGCCACCACATCAGGTGCCACCCCAGCCACAGCCACCACCAGCACAGCCGCCGCAGCCACCCACTCAAGCCCCACCCTTGCACCCCTACAAGTGCACCATGTGTAGTTACTCCACCACGACTCTGAAAGGGCTAAGAGTTCATCAGCAGCACAAACATTCATTCTGTGACAATTTGCCAAAATTTGAGGGGCAACTCTCAAGCCTACCACTGGAAAATGAGACAGACAGCCACCCCTCTTCCAGCAACACTGTGAAGAAAAGTCAGACCTCAATTCTTGGATTATCCTCCAAGAACAATTTTGTAGCTAAGGCCTCTAGGAAGCTTGCTAATGACTTTCCTCTTGATTTATCACCCGTGAAGAAAAGAACTAGGATCGACGAGATAGCAAGCAACCTGCAGAGCAAAATTAACCAAACCAAACAGCAGGAAGATGCAGTGATCAATGTTGAGGATGACGAGGAAGAAGAGGAAGACAATGAAGTGGAGATTGAAGTTGAGTTGGACAGGGAAGAAGAGCCAGCAGAACCTATCATGGAGGTTCCCACTTCCTTTTCAGCACAACAGATTTGGGTCAGAGACACCAGTGAGCCCCAGAAGGAGCCCAACTTCAGAAATGTCACCCACGATTACAATGCTACTAATGGGGCTGAGATTGAGCTCACCCTCTCTGAAGATGAAGAGGATTATTATGGCTCCTCAACAAACCTGAAAGATCATCAAGTTTCCAACACTGCTTTGATGAATACCCAAACTCCTATCTATGGAACTGAGCACAACAATGAAAATACAGACTTTGGTGACTCTGGAAGGCTTTACTATTGCAAACACTGTGACTTTAACAATAAATCTGCCCGGAGTGTTAGCACTCACTACCAACGAATGCACCCATACATTAAGTTCAGCTTTAGGTACATCTTGGACCCCAATGACCACAGTGCAGTGTACAGGTGCCTGGAATGCTACATTGATTACACCAATTTTGAAGATCTGCAGCAGCATTATGGTGAACACCACCCAGAAGCCATGAATGTTCTCAACTTTGATCATTCGGACCTGATATACCGGTGTCGGTTTTGTTCTTACACAAGCCCAAATGTTAGAAGCCTGATGCCACATTACCAAAGAATGCATCCCACAGTGAAGATCAACAACGCAATGATATTTTCAAGCTATGTTGTGGAGCAGCAAGAAGGGCTGAACACTGAATCCCAGACGCTGAGGGAGATTCTGAATTCGGCTCCCAAGAACATGGCGACATCCACTCCCGTGGGTCGTGGTGGTGGTATGCCAGCTACATTTAATAAAAGCACTCCTTCAAAGACCTTTACTCCAGAATGTGAAAACCAGAAGGACTCTTCAGTCAACACCGTTGTCGTTTACGATTGTGACGTTTGCTCATTCGCAAGCCCCAACATGCATTCTGTCTTGGTTCATTATCAGAAGAAACACCCTGAAGAAAAGGCCTCCTACTTTAGGATCCAGAAAACCATGCGCATGGTGTCTGTGGACAGGGGCTCTGCCCTTTCCCAATTATCATTTGAGGTGGGTGCTCCAATGTCTCCCAAAATGTCCAACATGGGTTCCCCACCCCCCCCACAACCCCCGCCACCAGACCTCGGTACTGAGCTTTACTACTGCAAACACTGTTCCTACAGCAATCGGTCAGTTGTGGGAGTGCTTGTTCACTACCAGAAAAGACACCCAGAAATAAAGGTTACTGCCAAATATATCAGGCAGGCTCCTCCCACAGCTGCAATGATGAGAGGGGCCGAAGGGCCGCAAGGCTCCCCCCGGCCTCCTGCCCCCATGCAACAGCTGAACCGGAGCAGTTCTGAGAGAGATGGCCTTCCTGTGGAGAATGAGATGTTCTTTTGCCAGCACTGTGATTATGGAAATCGGACGGTCAAAGGTGTCCTCATTCATTATCAGAAGAAGCACCGAGACTTCAAGGCCAATGCAGACGTGATCCGGCAGCACACAGCCACCATCCGAAGCCTCTGCGACCGAAACCAGAAGAAGCTTGCCAGTTGTGTCCTTCTCCCCACCTCCGGTGTGGAGCGGGACAAAACAAAACTCCGAGCACTCAAATGTAGGCAGTGTTCGTATACCTCCCCCTACTTCTATGCACTGAGGAAGCATATCAAGAAAGACCACCCTGCCCTGAAAGCCACAGTCACGTCCATCATGCGATGGGCATTTTTAGATGGCTTGATAGAAGCTGGCTACCACTGTGAGTGGTGCATCTATTCCCACCCAGAGCCCAGTGGTTTGCTTCTGCATTACCAGAGGAGGCATCCAGAGCATTACGTTGATTATACTTACATGGCTACCAAACTCTGGGCTGGGCCAGACCCGTCCCCTCCCTCTCTCACCATGCCAGCTGAAGCCAAAACATACAGATGCAGGGACTGTGTTTTTGAAGCGGTGTCTATCTGGGACATCACCAATCATTACCAAGCATTCCACCCCTGGGCCATGAATGGTGATGAGTCAGTACTGCTGGATATCATCAAGGAGAAAGATGGTGTTGAGAAGCCCCTCCTAACACCTGAAGAGTTGGCAGGCCCTATGAATTGTGAAAATAGTATGCCCATCCCCCTCCCTGAGCAGGAATTGGAATGCTCAGAGGATGCCAGATTTTCCCCAGAGAAAAGCATACACCTCACTTCAGCCAACCCCGCCATATCCTCCACCCCTTACCAGTGCACGGTATGCCAGTCTGAGTATAACAACTTGCACGGCCTCCTCACTCATTATGGGAAGAAGCACCCTGGCATGAAAGTGAAGGCTGCCGATTTTGCCCAGGACATCGACATCAACCCAGGTGCCGTCTACAAATGCAGGCATTGTCCATATATCAACACTCGCATCCATGGCGTCTTGACCCACTACCAGAAGCGACACCCAGCCATCAAGGTGACCGCCGAGGATTTTGTGCATGATGTAGAGCAGTCTGCTGACATTTCCCAGAACGACGTGGAGGAGACAAGCAGGATTTTCAAGCAAGGGTATGGTGCCTACCGGTGCAAACTCTGTCCATACACCCATGGCACTTTGGAGAAACTCAAAATCCACTATGAGAAGTACCACAATCAGCCTGAATTCGATGTCTTTTCCCCTTCACCCCCGAAGCTGCCAGTCTCCCTCGAGCCTGAAATAACCACTGAAGTAAGCCCCTCCCAAATCTCCATTACTGAGGAGGAGGTGGGAGAGGAGCCTGTGTCCACTTCTCACTTCTCTACCTCACACTTGGTCTCCCACACTGTGTTCCGGTGCCAGCTCTGCAAGTACTTCTGCTCCACGAGGAAAGGAATCGCGAGGCACTACCGGATCAAGCACAACAACGTCCGTGCCCAACCCGAAGGCAAGAACAACCTCTTCAAGTGTGCCCTTTGTGCCTACACCAACCCCATCCGCAAAGGGCTGGCAGCCCACTACCAGAAGCGGCACGACATCGATGCATATTATACCCACTGCCTGGCAGCCTCCCGGACCATCAGCGACAAGCCCAACAAGGTGATCATCCCATCCCCACCCAAGGACGACTCCCCACAGCTGAGTGAGGAACTCCGGCGGGCTGTGGAGAAGAAAAAGTGCTCCTTGTGCTCATTCCAGTCGTTCAGCAAGAAAGGTATTGTGTCCCATTACATGAAGCGCCACCCTGGGGTGTTCCCAAAGAAGCAGCACTCCAGCAAGTTGGGGGGCTACTTCACAGCTGTGTATGCAGACGAGCATGAGAAGCCCACGCTGATGGAGGAAGAGGAGAGAGGCAGCTTTGAGAAAGCCGAGGTGGAGGGTGAAGCTCAGGAAATCGAGTGGCTCCCATTTCGCTGCATCAAATGTTTCAAGCTGTCCTTTAGCACCGCGGAGCTGTTGTGCATGCATTACACTGACCACCACAGCCGGGACCTAAAGAGGGACTTCGTCATCCTGGGCAACGGGCCCCGCTTGCAGAACTCCACCTACCAGTGTAAGCACTGTGATAGCAAATTGCAAAGCACAGCTGAGCTGACCTCACACTTGAACATTCACAATGAGGAATTCCAGAAGCGTGCCAAACGTCAGGAGAGGAGGAAACAGCTTTTGAGCAAGCAGAAATATGCAGATGGTGCTTTTGCAGATTTCAAACAAGAGAGGGTAAGGATATGTTTTGATTTCCCTTCCCCCAGGAGGCCTCTCATCACTGGTGCCCACATGCACTTCTTCGTTGCCAGCCAAACTGCTGCAGGCTTCCTAGTGACTTAGCTTGCCAGAGAGCTCAATAAGTCAATTAAACATTTCGAGCTTGATTATCCCCCATTCTGTGCTCACCCCTCTCCACGGTCCTGTTCCCCTCCCTCTCTCCCTCTGAGTACTCCCATGGCTCCCCAGGGAAGGTTTGGGGTGGTTTCTATGTATGTCTGCCAAGTAGCCTGATCTGAAGTCTTGTTATACAACAACACCCGCTCTTTCTTAAGGCAGTCGTGGCTGTCTCTTGGTATCATTAGCACTTCTCAGCCATGTCTTGGTCTTCAGTGTTTGCCACGGGAACCTAACATCTCAAGGAGTAGATTACTTTATCAAGAAGTTCATTAATGGCGCAGCTGTGCAACACTTCACCTGCGTCGTTGAAACTGGTTTGAAAACCAGATAACTTAATGGCAGTGACGATGAGCTTCTGCACAGAAATCTTCTCTACTCACAAGCCGTAACATATCTGGGTTCCAGAGACTGTGTCTAATAGGCAACGTGCCATGACTGATAAGTTGGTATTTAAAAATACTCGCCTATATCTCCCTTGGTTTTTAACCTGCTAACCTGCTTTAAAATAAAATTTTAAAAAATTATATATGCCAGTATATAATAAATGCCTATCTTTGAAGGAGGGCTTGGAGTACTGATGGCTACCACTGTATTTTACCAGCCTTTTGGTCACTTAGAAGAGGTGCCAAAGATCAAGGAGAGGAAAGTGGTGGGCTACAAATGTAAATTCTGTGTGGAAGTGCACCCAACGCTCCGAGCCATCTGCAATCACCTCCGGAAGCACGTCCAGTACGGCAGTGTTCCAGCCATGTCTGCTGCCGTGAAGGTGAGCCGGGGAGCTCTGGATGCCGAACTTGTGAGTGAGCGCCTCAAGTTACTTATTAACCCCATTGCTTAAAGCAGCTTGGGAGGACCATCTCAGAATGCAGCCATTCCTGAGTCACCTTTGCATCGGTTTGGCGTGTTTTGATTTTCTTTTTTTTGCAGGTTGGACCTTCCTCACCTTTCTGTCCAGGTAAAGGTCAAGTTTTGGTCTCGTTTCCATCTGATGTGGACAGTTTGGTGGACACAGAAGGTCCTGGACTCTCAGCACAGGAAGCCTCCGGTCGTCCTTTTATTCTGTGTTTAGTGCCGTTAGGTCTTGGTTCTTCCAAGTTTCCTGAACTCTTAAAGGGAATCAAGTGGGTTCTGTTCCTGTCATCTGCTCCTCTCGCTGCCTTACTCTCACTACTCTCATGTGGCCGAGGATGCAAAGAGCCCAGCAGAATCTGTCTTTTGCTTATCTTGGGGTGTCCAGGGAGTGCATGGGGCTTTGATTAAATCTAAAACCCAAATCCTCCAGGTTACCTATGGCCCTCATAGCTTTTTGACCTCGATTGTCTGCTCCCTTCCCTCTCCCCATGTGATTCAGCCAAGTGTCTTCCCTTTCTCCCAAACTTTATTAGGCCACCTGTTTTGAACATTGTAATCTGAATGGCAGTCATTGTTCATCCAGAATAATGAAGGCTGCTACTTTGAAGACTGACGTCTTCTGTCTTCGGTCAGAACAGTGGCAACTCAGGGAAAGCAGTAGGTAGCTTCTTCCACAGACCACTGCAATGTGCCCAGGTTTGTTTCCTGGAACCAAGCAAGAGAAAATCACAATTCCAAGGAGCCACCTTGAAAAATGGGTGATTTAAAACCAGGCCGCTACTTAATGTTTGCAATTAATTATGCAGCAACCTTCAGTTAAGGAGTGAAGTCACCAACTGGGGTGGGAGGCAGACAGCAGGATCTTTTGCTTTGCTTCATTTCCAAATGATGGCCCAAGGCTCCTACATGTCCAACCCACTCTGCTTCTTTCCTTTCTCTTCTTTCCCTTCTCTGAGCCATAATACTATAACCCAACTTGATGTCAGTTCAGATAGGATCACAATTTGAATTTTCTTTTTAAGACCAGGAATGAGTGCACTGTCGCAGACTGGGAGAGCCCCTCTCACATTTCCCAGGCAGTAATAAATTATGTCCGGATATGTTGCCCCTAAGTCAACACCACTGCATGAAGAATGGCCATATGGCTTGCCCTCCCTTTAGGAAGAGCCAGAGAGGCAGGGGAAGAAGCACTGACCAGAAATGCTGATGAGCTTGGGAGAATGAAGGGAGAAGAGGAAAGCTGGGGACAATGAAGATGGATATTTATTTTGTTGGTGGGGCATGTGTGTGTGTGTGGTTCTCTTAGCAGGAGGCTGAAGACCCTTCCCACTTCTTCCTGGATGGATTGGAAGCAGCCAAAGATGCCAGTGGAGCCCTTGTGGGCCGGGTGGATGGTGGACACTGCTTGCTTGATGGAATGTTGGAGGATGAAACCCGGCCGGGGGGATACCATTGCAGTCAATGTGACAGAGTCCTGATGTCCATGCAGGGGCTGCGTTCTCATGAGAGGAGCCACCTGGCCCTGGCCATGTTTACCCGAGAGGACAAGTACAGCTGCCAGTATTGCTCCTTTGTTTCTGCTTTCAGGCACAAGTAAGTGCTGTTGGATGGTCCCTAGGGTTACTGGGAGAAGATTTCATAGTAGAAGACAGCTAGGTTAGAGCAGGAGAAGCTTGAATGAGTAAGAAGGCTCCACTGTTGGCTCATTCCTGATGCTCCATTACCTGGATTCTCAGCTGTCTCATCTGTAAAATGGGGCTAAGAGCAGGAGTGACTGGATGGCATTAACTTTGGCAAATTCAGGCATTTTAAAAAATGAGAATTGAAGGAATTGCTGTGATTTATCTCAAGGAGGATGCAGCTACAGGGCACAGATGAATTTACTGATGGATTTGCCAAACATTCAGCCAAAACTTGGCCATTGTTTGAGGAAGTAACATTCCCTTTGGAAAATGGAGTTCCTAAAGAGATAAAATTAGGACTACTAATCTATATGACCGAAGAATCACTGCTTGGGATTTTTAAAAAGATATGGAAAGACAAAGTTTCCATGGATGCTAAAGAGATTAAAATTACAAGGAGCTTCTTGTGTCACTTCCCACAGTGAGTGTAAATTTGGGGTAGATATGTAAAGTTTCATGGAGTGAGGTGAAGAGGGGCTGTTCAAAGAAGCAATATTTTTGGGCCGGGGATTTAGCTCAGTGGTTCCACCGCCTGCCTCGCAAGTGCAAGGACCTGAGTTCGATCCCCGGTACCAAAAAAACAAAACAAAACAAAGAAGCAATATTTTGTTATAAAAAAGACAAATATTTAATAATGCGTTCCCACAGCCCTGGAAAAAGGTAACTGATTTTAAGACTTATCTGCTATTTATTTTTATGTTAATTGAAAGTAAATGATGAGCTGTTTGCTTCTTTAAAAAGGCAAAGTGCTAATTGGTTGTTGAAAAGCAGGAGGCAGTGTTACTGTCGAGGTTAGGATAGGTTACAAACCTTTATTAAACAGAGCCAAATATCTAATCTCTGTCATCAGGTTCATATATTGACATACAACTTGTGTTGTTCCCTTTGATTCATTAAGTATTTCTTGAACAGCATATATCACATTGTCTGACACATAGTGGAACGCAGTAAACAACTGTAAATAAAGGAATATACCCTGCTCTGGGCACTGTGCTTTGGGAGAACATAAAGATGAATAGGACAAAGTCTGACATCTAAGGGAATTTAGAGCCTAGGATTGTGTTATAAAGGAACCAAACAAATGAGGCACACCTGTTAAAGAAAATCAATAAACTGATGAGCAGTTTCAATGAAGGGAAATGTTACATCCACTTTGGAAGAGTCAGAAAGGCTCTGTGGAGTACAGAGCATTTGAGTCAACTCTTAAAATAGGAAGATAAGACTTGAGTAGTTTGAGAAAGAGCTGTGTTATGGAGAAAAGGATGAGCGCTCAAGTTAAGGAGGATGTGAGCCTCATTGGTGCCTCAATAGTGGTTTAATTTGACCAGTTATTAAGCTGCATATAAGGGAATGGCAGAAGATAAGGTCTAAATATTTGAGTAGAAATCCTGTTTAGAGTCTCAAAATGCCAAATTAATACATTACTGGTATAAAAAGTCTGGACTGAGTATAACATAATTGCTAACATTAAGTACACTTCAGTATATACCAGGCACTGTACTAAGTGTCTTCAAGTATTACTATTGTACATTCTCAAAACAGCCCTATGAGGTACAGTCCTATCATCTCCATATTATAGATGAGAAAAGCAAAACCTAAAGGAGTTAAATAACATGGCCACAGTCTCAAAACTTGTTAAGTAATAGCTGGGATTTGATCCTGAGCAGTATGACTCCAACGTTTCTGCATTTTGAAAAAAGATAGGAGAGATCAACTCAGAAGCAGTGATAGTAGCTGATCCAAGAAGTTAAGAAATGGTGAAGAGAATGATTCTGCTTGCCTTAGAATTGATTTAATGTATGGGTTGAAGGAGTAAAATAAAGTACAAATAGCACCTAGTTCTCAGTTGATTGAGTGGGAGAATGGTAGTGCCATTTATAGAAACAGGAAAATGAAGAAGAAAATTCGTATTGGAAAAAAACCGGATAGGCTTGTATAACACAGGTTGTTTAAGAAGGCTAATGGACATCAGAGGGAGATGTCCAGAGGCAAGTGAAAATGTTGCTTTGCAGATCAGGAGAGCATTGCATGTTTAAATGGTAAGCAGCAGTACGCTCATGAGTCACTTCAAATGGAATTTAGTTCTCTGGGGTACTGATCAAATTAAAACTTCTTCCTCTACTTGTATTAGTTTTTAGACTAAAATTATTATGAAGAACTGGGAGGTCATTCTAATTAAATGACATCCTCATAAGTTGCTTCTAGAAGGCTGATGTACAGCAGAAATGGTTGTATTGATCAGAAGGATGACCAGCCTCTTGATCATGTGACTCCTATTTAAATACACTTACACTGTACTTCCATATTACTATAGGTGCTGGAAACACGACACTTCACTCTAAGCAGGTCAGCGGAAAACCTCCTTTCTTTACTCTAGTGTTCACATTAAAAAGAAAGCCCCCTTTAAGTCCTTAATTTAAGTTCCCATTCTTTTTAAAAAATAAGCTAAATGGGCACCCTCACTGACCAGGCAGAAAACATGAACTCATCCATCTTGTACCTTTTTTTGTTGATGTTGAGGCCCTATTTTAATTATCAGAGTCTACAGAAGAGAGAATAAGGATCTTCAAAAAGATCTCTTAATCTCTTTCTTTAGCTTTCTGTCCTCTTAGCTCTTGCCGATTTATATGGTAAGTACCATCATTAGAAAGTAAACAAAAGGACTTTAAGCAATGTAGACGTGGTATGCCTGGAAGAGGGCAATAAGAAAATGTTGCATGCACTTTTTAATCTTGCTATTTTCCTTTTTTTTTTCTCTTCCACATCAGTTTGGATCGCCATATGCAGACTCACCATGGACACCATAAACCATTCCGATGCAAACTCTGCTCCTTCAAGTCCTCCTATAACAGCCGGCTGAAAACACATATACTCAAAGCACATGCTGGTGAGTTGGTATTTGGAGTTCACAAGTTTTTCAGTAGGTTTGAAATATGTAATCTAATGTTCATGGTTGAGTCAAATTTTAAAAATGTCTTGGCCTACACATGAGCAATTATTATTTTTTTAATATTATTTTATTGGAACATTTTAGATATACAATATAATGTCATGCATCATTGGAAATTTGCACCTTTATATAATCTCTCTTGGTTCTTATTTTTCCCCCTTCCCCTGCCCTCCCTTCAACACCTCCATCCCTCCCTATTAACAAAAGCTTTGTTTCCAGTTTTTCATTCTCATATATTAATTCCATTCCTTTCTTTCCTTTCCCCTACCCCTCACACTTCCCCTTCCCCTTTGCCCCTTTTCTTCCTATTGCACATTATCTATTAGACCTTTTAGTCCTTATTTACACTTTCAGTTTCTCAAACTAGAGAAACTATTCGGTATTTACACATGTGTGTCCTATTTATTTCACTTAGGAGTGTTGCCTCAATGTGCATCCATTTAGCAATAAATGTCTCTAGTTTCTCGTTTTTGATGACTAAGTAGCATTTTATTAAAAAAACACATTTTCTTGATCCAGTATCCAGTTGATGGGCATTTGGGCTGCTTCCAAGTTTTAGCTATTACAAATTGTACTGCTATGAACATGGGTACACTTATATCACCGTGGTATGATTCTTTTAATTCTTTGGGGAAGATACCCAGCAAGAGAATAGCTGGGTCAAATGGGACTTCCAGTCCTAGTTCTTTGAGGTATCTCCATACTGATTTCCACAGTGGTTGCACCAGCAGTGGAGCAGGGTTCTTCTTTCCCCACAGCGCTGCCAGCATTTATTATTGGTTGATTTCATAATAACAGCCATTCTTTCTGGGGTGAAGTGGAATCTCAGCATTGTTTTCATTTGCATCTCTCGAATGACCAGTGATTTTGAACATTTTTTCATATGTTTATTTGCTATTTCTACTTCTTTGTGTGAGAAATGCCTGTTCATTTCAGATGCCCATTTTCAGATTGGGTCTTTAAATTTGGGAGGTCTGATCTTTTTAAGTTCTTTATAGATTCAA